AAGCTCAAACGACAGTTTGACCCCCACGACCTCTTTCATTGAGGCAACGTGCCACTTAAATGCGCAGTTGTCAGAAGATATGAATCACAACACGGTTGCATTAAGCTGCCATTGGCTACACGTCAACCATAGTTCGGTGAGTCATAATTGTATATTACCATACTTGCTAATCTCGAACAGAAGACGTATATAGATCAATTTGCAAATCCCCTGCTTATATACTAGGGAGATGATATGTATTTTGAGCAAATAATTCAATTAATTTGAATACTTTTCATTAATATAATAACATATGCGCACAGTTGCTCAGTCGTCGTCTCCGAACGATCAATTTTAGACGATATTATCGATGGGCAGCTGCAACCACGCTAACTATTCTGTTGAAGATTATGCGAGATTTGCACATCATTGTGACATTGTTTAAAATCACTGTCACAAGTCAATCACTGTGGTTTGTAGCTGTGCACAATGCGCATGCGTTGTACTTTACCCGCACCATGCCTCCATCGATTTCCGTTCCTGAAACTAGGTAATTACAAATATGTGGATGCTACTTATGTAAAGCTCTGTCAAAATGCATGGGGCTGAAAACAACAAAGCCTTTGCGTTTTTTTAGCGTGCCTTGTTATCGTCGTTTGGGACTCAATTCCCACGCGTGCGCAGGAAGACCCCCCCCCCTCCCCGCTTTAAGATACCTTTCGCTTTCAGTCGATCAAATGTGTTGTCAGTTATCAAGAGAATTACCGTCGTGACGTCATTCCTGCGTGTGTCGTATTTAGGAGAATGAAAGCTCACAAACGTGTTACTGAACGAAAGGAGATGTTATGCAATATGCTATTCTCTTCAAAGTCTGGTTAATTATCTTTGACGCCAAACTACTAAAAATATACAATATGTTGTGATATATTAACGACATCCATTATTTCATGGTACGCGTTAATAAATTAAAAAGTTAATATTTATCTATATTTTTTTTTATCATTGCGTTGAGTATGTAATGTAATTGAAACAAAAGACAATGCTTCATCGCGCAATGGGGGTTGCTATTAACAGTCGCTTGGCAAGTAGTGCAATGAGCACAGAACGTTATGTCCGGTGATCAATAAATGGAGACCTTCTACGTATTTATTTGGCGATGCACTGTGCCATCCTTACACATTTTATGTGCAATTATCAAATATATTTAGGAGAAGTGACAGAAATGGGGAGTTTAGTTCTGTTTCCAATGTTATGTATCCGTCAGAAATATCATTATTAATACAGATTTCCCTGTGCGATTCGCTGTATTCGTTTCGATCGTCTCTGCTCGAATTTAAAGGTGATCGCAAGTATCCCACACTAACGCAGCGAATGTTGTGTATTCAACCAAGTCCTCCGGCGCTTTAATGGTTGTATTAACAAATATATATCTCGTGCTACTATGGTGACCGCCATCGTGTTACTCGCAGTACTTGATTACATTTGCGATCATGTTTTCTCAGTGATTAGAAATGATGCATCACGTGACAACTAATTATCCCAACTACCCATGTGCATTTACAATAGTCGCGGTTCATACATTATGTGGTTGCAATGCAAGTGTAAAATGCCTCAGTCGTCGTGATGTGTTCTGTTCGATGTGGGTTCCATGCGACGTATGCAACGTAGTATTATACATTGTTTTCATAAAATTCGAATGCGCGCAGCGCGACGTCACATTATATGCACACACCAAAATTGTGAAGAAACATCTATACACACATGCTATTTTTCATTCACTAAACATGAGAGTGCATTGACCCATTTTCTATTTTTTTTATGTTTTAGATGCCGAAAATTGCACAGGCTTTCCTGAAGACCTGATCGGAATATGGACATCATCCGGAGACTCCGATATGATAAACGGCAAATACGATATCAATGCAGAGAACATGACGCGCATGGATGGAGGAGAGAGTTCACAATTCCAGTGTCTGTTATTTGAAGATAATACATACGTTCTTAAAAAAATTGGCGGGTGAGTAATCGATGTTGCTCTATTGCTTGTTTGATTGATTGAGTGACTTATTTACTTTTATTCATAACAAATATGCGCTTTAAAAACACAAATTTGGAAATAGTAAATAAGATAATTCAGATAATAACAGTGAGATCATCTTATAATATGAGGTTATTACGAGGATACCTCAAAGTATGCACGAAGACAGTACAGCGGAACATTATCATCAAGTTATTATACATCTTTTCCTTCCAAGGATACATCATGGGAATGGCAAAATCCAAAATGTTTAGAACAGAATCAGCGAACTTCTTTGTGTGAAGTCCGGTCAAACCCTGGTGGCAGCCATGTTTGTTTTTATTATTAGTGGACGTAATTACGCGCGTAATCATTCCATATTTGGAAATCGCATTTTCTTATATGGTAGGATGAAAATACCCTGTAAAATATCGCAAAATTACGGCACTCTGTAACTTATGTTACGGTGACAGACGTATACTAACTGTTATTAGCGGTAATTAAAATATGGCGTGTCGTTCGCACGCTTAAATGTGGCCACAACTGTTAGAGAGAACAAGTGAAGAGTCACTCGGAGGCACATTTATATAAAATCGTGCCAGATATAGTTTTCGAAGCTAACATGGACGAATAATTCAAAAAGTCGATTAAACATGAATATTCGTGCAACTATACTTCTTTTTTAATGTGTTCAATCAATTGTGTTTGAATTTGTACATCTCCCTTACCACTTTCCATGTATAATTTCCAACGCAGAAATGACAAACAGTACATGTGCCTGGCCTATAAGAAGATCAACGACAACGCCCTCATGACCTACACGAGTGAGTATTTTGTTTTTAATAGAGGGCGCTATGATGTAGATGTAGATGTGTTAATAAGGTTTCATATCACACATTTCTGAAAAAACCAAACGAAGTAAAACAGGTTTCAAAGACCCGAATAATTCTGAAACCGCCTTTATATAATAACATTCTGGCCAGAAAAACACATATTTCTCAACACAGGTCACTGGTAATTGTCAGTCAACACAACTCCACACACGGATTTAACATCTTGACGTAATTGCAGTACGCCCTCACACATTGCGTTCCAAATAAAACTCGGTGAAATGAAGCCCATTGGCTAACAATAGCAATATGATTTGTGGTATGGGGACTTAATACTAGTACAGTGCTCGTAAAACTTTGTCTGAAGTAGCACATCAGGATAAAAAAAAATATAACACTGTGAAAAATACATGGTCTTACATATTTTGTTAACATACTGGACCTTATTAATATGCGCTGGATTATGCAATTAACTTTCGTGATTACACTCCTTCAACAGAGAATGCGAATAGTGACGACACGCCCTCAAGCGTTGGAGATATATGTGACGAGGATTTAATGAAGTATCCCAAACCTGGCAATATGCTGTACGGTAAGAAACGGTCAAGTCACCCTCCGTAGTATTGAGTTTGAAGCAGTGGCTAACTGACATTTTTACGTAGTTTTCAGTCTGAGTGAATTCGGCATTGTACTTGTGGTTGATTCGGGAGCTCGTCCGTCCCTTGATGACCACAGTAAAAACCCAGTTATTATTATTATTATTATTACCCAGAAATTATGCGTTGTTTCGATGTCTGTTACATTACAAATTATTTTTTAGTATGAATGCGCCGTCGTTTGAATCACTCGTACGTGATGTTCAGAACATTGCGCCCTCTATGGTATATCGAAGTAACAGTGACGTATTTTTGTTGAAATCTGTAGCGGACTCGTTGGCCGCGGTGGAGTGCTCGCTAATTGGCAAATTTCAGTTCGACACCGAAGACTGCGCCAACAAGACGTACACTCTGGAAGCATGTAGCGGCGACTTCACGTCGATGACTTTCTTTGCTGCCTGCGATGGCTTGCAAAATCCATGTAAGTACATCTCCCTAAATGGTGTGATGTTCTCTTTCAATATCGCCATCGCACTGGGTCCTTTATCATGTTCACATGTTTATGAAATTACCTAAGTATTTATCGTTTTGACTAGTTGCAAACGGTAGCATGGATTGTCTGGGTAGCTGGGATGGTGAGGATGGGTTGAAGTACGCGTTCGTAAAGACTGCATCTATCGCAGACACAGACACTGAATGGACTGGTAAATTTGCTTGCATGGTGAGTGTCTTACAACCAATCTTTATTTTGACCAGAGTTGACATTGTATCGTAAACTATATTTTCGTGCATGCAGCCTGGACTATGCTGTACTAACAAGTTAATTTCAATGCGAGTATGTCTGTTTCACTCCAGAAACGGCGAGACTATACACACAGACGCCTCAATACACTTCCCCTATACGTCTCGCCCTCTAACGTCTAACTGCTTCCGTGACGTCTGAATGACGTAAGTGGGTGAAAACGTTGTAGGTTAACACCGACGACAATAGGGCTTGGTTGTGTAGTCGTTCGTCATTTATAGTAAAATCTCCCAAAAACTTAATCTTCAATGATGAACGACAACAAATACTACGGACTTGGCGCGCTTGGGGGGGGGGGGGAAGGGGTCTATAACGATTCAACGAACTGTGATATAATTAGAGCCAGACGTCCCCCAAATTGAATTGCATTTGAAGAAAAGAACTGTCGCTAAGTTCTAACTTCAAATTAATAGTTAAGACCAATGAACACCCAATTTGTTTCGCTATTTCATTTTGACTATTATTACTAACCGAATATGCGGTGTTTGTGTCTGAGCACGTGGGGGCATATACCCGACATCATAAGAAAGGCCAATAGTTTTCTCGCGCAAAATGTTTGTGAGTTTATACTACATCCAGCCAGATGACATGCATGTGATTTGTTCTTCAAATCAGTCATTCATTAATCGTAAACAAATACAGCCAAACTTTAGTGATTGGC